GAAAATGGTTATTTTTATATACAGCTCACTGTTGATATGTACTTTGTTAAATGTTGCTTGCTCGCAAGACCGTATGGCACTTAGCTGCATTGACTCCGGATACTGAGTTACCCCACAACTACCTATCCATGTTTCTTATTATTTAACATTGAAAAAACGAAAAATAAAGAATATTAAAAAAAAAAAGGTTGGGTTATGTAAGTTAATAAACAGCTTGTATTGAAAATGAAATCTGGGACACCAGGAGAATTTTACATCCTTAAACATCGATATGACCAGCCCTAAAGTGGACTACCAGTCCTAAAAGATGCTTCTGCCTCCATAAACTATAAGGAGTTCTATGTATCTGGCACTGATACTTTATCAATAATCCATATATCAGCTGGGGGCAAATCTTAAGAAAAACTGCTTTATATTTTTTAATTATAATCATTCTTGAGTAAATCATTGTAGCAACTGGAAATTCCCACTCCACTGACAGAACAAATGTTCTCTGTTTACGGACCTTACAAAACCATTTATTTAAAACAGAGGTTAGTGGGCCTGACTGCTCCTGCGGTAGAGTGCAGGACAGTGACACAGATATCCTGAACTATGCAGTTCTAGTAACAAGCTGGGAGGAGAGCCCAGACATGTCATCTGTCAACGTCACTTAACTGGCTTCTCCTCCAATCACAGAGTTATTTATGTTACATTAAGGGAACTTTGTTATACACCACAGGCCCCATACCACAGCCTGCATTTTGTGAATGGGCTGTAAAATGCCAGCCATAGTCTGAAGTATTACTGAGGGGTATAGTAGATAGCTATATCCCTTTTCTGTTTTAAATTGCCCCATGGACCATAGTTGTTTTTCCATAGTCTGCATTGTTTTCAATAAAGAAGTCTTACTAATATACAGTATGTATCTTGATCTTACATCTGCATAGCCTTAGTATATGAAGTGGTACAGCACAAACATATATATTATACGCATGATGCATAAAAAGCATTTGACTCTAAGACTACCTGAGGCTCCAATCCAAAGAGTGCTATCTGACCAGACATTGGTGGCCAAAATCAGTTAGACTTGGCTATGGGGTGCCAAAACTGGTATACCTGTCATCCAACAACAGTTGAGACGACCACTAATAGTGGCACAAGAAAATGATGGCTCTCTTCTCCAGAAACCTGACGGGCACATTTTTAAACTACTGTCCCAGCAAAAGGAATGTCTGTCTCCATTGTAAAAGGGGGAAATATTTGTACCTTACAGTAGAAAGCAATTTTATACCCTGACCTTTTGATGTCCAGGAAAAGATCCTAGTTTGATGTTGGCATCAACAAATCCTTCTTCATCCAGTGACACCACTTCACCGTTATCTCCATCTTTCCATTTTGGAGAGGTCATGTCATGAACCAACCTGACCGCCACAGATTTGTGAACCGTGTTCGTATTGGCCCAGTAGATGCCAAGCTGAAAAGCCTCCTGAAAAACACACGCAGAGATAAATCAAAATGACTTTGTGCTTTATTCACATGAAGGGGTCTTATGTCACACATTACTAATAACCAACTAGAACTATCATAATCCACAACTTTCTTATTAATACTCGGGGACAACAACCTGAGTACCTCATTTGAGGTTTAATTTCCTTTTTCTGAAGACACAGAAGGGACCATTAGTGTTAAATGGATTTCCTCTGAACTAACAGAAAATAAGTTACCATCTATTCTATACCTCCCCTTTATAATCCATCACAATTCTATATATAAGAATGCACTTATACACAACAGGATTTTGAACACCTTGTAAAACTTTTGCAGGTATTGTCGAAGTCATATTCAATTAACCTGGGAGCTTTTGATTTCTGTATCATTGCCCCAGGTTTGAAGTGAAATTCCGGGATTTTTTTTTTTTAATGTTGCCTTGCATCTCTAAAATAAATAAATAAAAAAGGCTGCTTCTGTTGCAATATCCAACTTTAATCTGGAGCTGCCCCCACAGAACTGCTTCTCTGCGACTAGATTTCCTCAGTCTTCCTGATTGAATGATGGTCAGCATCATCCAATCCATGTGCTGTGAGCTCAGGGGAATTCAGGGAGGTGGGGCAAACTTGATGTTGTCAGAAATGCATAGCGGTTAATGCAAGTATATAGTATATTTATACTTGCATTACCCCTGTTTTTCACATCACTGGGTGTGACATCTTCATCCTTCCAGGAAGATTTCTGGGGAATGTAGAGAAGGTGAATTCTCCCATTAAGACACCCCAGTGCACTGCAGTGGCCCACAAGATTTTACCTGCTCTGTAATCTCCAGGATCTAGTCAGAAGGATTCATCATAATTCTAGGTGCCACAGGCAGAAGACGGTGGTGAGGTAAGTCTAGATCCTACAGTTAGTTTTTATGAAAGGGAGGAGGTCCTGAAAATGTAAGCAGGTTTTGCACATAACTGCAAGGCCCACTTTAAGAAAAGGTGTTTTTTCCCCCAACAATTTGTATTTAGAGTATTTTTCAGCAAATAATGTGCTACAATGTGTTTTAGGTGGAGAAGATTTCCATCTGCGCACTTCAGCCTTCAGATGTGGGGTTCATTTACACACATTTGCATTTATGACCCCTCTGTCTACTGTTAATGATCACATTATATTATTAATATTATGTTGACAAATCCTATTTGCAGTTAATTTTACAAACAAAAATGCATTCATTATATTAGAAACCTACATATTAGACCTAAATTTCAAATTTCTATACCTCATTTAGACAGCAGTATACTCACACACTGGAGAAGAGAAGTGCTGTGTCCTATAATGAACGCTGGAGTAAGTATTGTTTTTGTGCCACTAGCTTAAGATATTTCATATACACTTCACAAGGCCCATGTGCCGCTGTTAAAGATTAAAGCGGACTCATTAGTGTAACCATTGCCCATGTCCTATATTGTGTTAAAGGATGCCCAGTCCTAAGACCCACTCTGAGGCTGCTGGACATTCAAGACTCCTCTATTTTAACAGCACAAGGCAGCTCCATGCTAGGCTCTCGAATACAACAAAAAGGGCTGGAATCTGATTGGCTCTGTAATACATCACTCTGAAAAGTAAGAGCTGGATTCTGATTGGCTCTGGTATACAATACTCTGAAAAGTAAGAGGTGGATTCTGATTGGCTCTGGTGTACAATACTCTGAAAAGTGAGAACTGGAATCTGATTGGCTCTGGGATACATCACTATGAAAGTGAGAGCTGGAATCTGATTGGCTCTGGAATACATCACTATGAAAGTGAGAGCTGGAATCTGATTGGCTCTGGAATACACCACTCTAAAAACTGGAACCTGGAATCTGAATTGGAGGAATTGTCGGAATCTGGATTAGAACACTCCTCTAGAATATATAAATGAACGACTGCACGTCTTACTAGTTTGACCGTCTGCTAGACTCGTGTAGCATGAATGTTTGGCCACAGAAGTAGAGCAGACATCATCTAGTAGGCAAGAGTGAACCAGCTACCATGATCTCTGCCCGCAAAATGAACTATAGCTTTTTAGTGCGTGAACCAAATTTAAATGGCAATGCTGAGAAGTGATGAAAAACAGTAATGTGATTGACACATACAGAAAACAGACCCTTCTGAGGTGGTTACGAGGGGGGAAACTGCTCATGTTGGTGAACTACTCGCAATGCAAGCAACACTGGAAATTCTCCACACGACCCTGTTATCATAACCTTCCAAGGACGCGGGCTGTTATTTTCCACAGGCGCGTAACCTTGCCTTGTTTCAGGCTTTCTAAGCTTCTCCTTGCTAGTTGTCACAGTTATATGTCCTACATACGAGCCACACAGGCAGCTATTAATTGATGTGATAGCCTGGATTAACCTCTAACATTCCAGAAGTGTTTAGAAATTTTAAAGCCAATATTGAGAGTGTAAAATGAGAGTGTAAAATGAAATACCTGCAAACAAAAGTGCCTTATTATATAGAAGTTAAAAAAAAATCACAGTGATATGCTTATTACATAGATGCTGAACTCATTTTATTGCTGCACTCAATAAGAAAAGTGAAATCTCATGTCCAGCTTGAGCAAAAGAAAACAAAAAAAATCAGCACCCAAATACTTACCTGGAATTATACTCTGCAGATTCACCTGCTCATTAATCCAGCGCTGCTCCTCTTCAGGGTTTAAGGACACCCAGCATCATTCAACTACTTACTTCGAGCCCAAAGCACCAAGGGCCCGCTTTCTGCCATGGATTCACAGACGATTGCTGCAGAGAGCGGCGCCTAGTCATTATATGGCACTGCTCTCTGTAGCATTTCAGATCCGCCCAACACTGGAGGAATAGGAGGGTGTAGAGGACCTGAGAACTCATCAGACCAGACTGAAACACCTGGACAGAAGATTGATATAGAGTTTTTTAAAGTGGTGTTCTAAAGGAGGGGGGCAATCCAAAAGACAACATTTGACTTTAATTTGTCGTCAACCTATAGTCCATTATAAATGCTTAAATATCCTGCCTGACACCGCCAGACAAAATTCCATTATAAATGCTTAGAAGTGCTGCAAGACACCTCAAGATGCAAGCTATTACCTTTACAAGCCCAAAAAAAAAGTTTTCTTTGTGTCTCTATGATTAAGTTTCACTTTGGTATTGTCACAGTATGACATAATACACAAAAAAATGTATGAATGTTCAGATATTAACGATTAAGTAACCACTAAATATTAGTTGGACAAGTAAATAATGAATATAGGGTGTAGCCATGCCATAGAGATCTTAAAGAACTATGGATGTTCTGTTTTGCTGTGTTTTTCGGGGGCTGAAGGAATATCTTGTGGTAGAAGACATGACTTTTCAGGACGACAAGGTGGTGACAATGTTGGCTTGGTATATTAGTGGCAATTAATCACTTCTATAGATTTTAACTTAATTCAAGAATAAATTGCCCCCCTTCTAGGATCCGTTAGCCGAAGGGTAATGTCAGTAAATCTTTTACTGGATTTTTCCAAAACACACTGCAACCTACTTCAACTCAGAGTTGTAGTATGAACAGGGCATACAGAAAACAATTTGTTTTTGTATGCAATTTTGCACTTTTTTTATTGCAACACAAAGAAAAATGCAAACAAAAGAAATTAAATTAAAGTTAAAATATTAACAGTTTAAAAACCAAATAACAAAAATGAGCAGAAGAAAATGATAGGTAAGGGGAGGAGGAGTTAATGTGTAAGGAAAGGCTACACAATAGCCCACCTTTGAACATTTTCTCTGATATTTCCTGCATACATTGAATGATGAATCATAATCTTAATAATTTCTTTTTACATTTTTCTAAGTGGTCATGTGACAGCAAAGCTCTGTCTGCATCCCCTTTATCTTTGACCGGTGCGGCAGATGGGTGGGAACTCTCTCCTGGCCAATAACCTCTTAGAGCTATGGACATCAGTGGGTGACGTCTCTGCTCTATGGTATCAGCAGGACTTCAGCAGCATTGTTGGCCTTTCACAGACACACAGATTAGCCAGAGCTTCCATAGACTAACATTGGGCTTCCGATCAGATCCCCCTGAAAAACTGACAGACAGACCTGATCGGATTGCCTATGTGAAAGGGCTGTTAATCAGCCCTAATGAATGTAGAAGAAAAGGCTACACAATACCCCCCTTTGAAATGTAACCCCATTGCTCTGATATTCCCTGCATACATTTGCTATGAAAACGGACACATGTCCTTTTACATCTGATTCCCCATAGACCAGCATAGATCTGGTAATTTCAGTATGGATCCCCTGCTGATCAGAGGAGGAGGCACCGTGTTAAAGGCACCTTAAGTTAATAAGAAGGTACACAGAAACAAATCTAAAAAAAATTATACATATGTATTTTAATGTCAGGTATTTCTATCTGACATCATATGCAGATCGAAGCTCATTGCTTAAGGCCCCTTTCACACGGTGGTCCACAATGTAAGTCTATGGGTAGCCGTGTATAAACGGACGGTGTCCGTTTACACCTCATTATCCCTGACTCCGGTCAGGTCCGGAAAAACAAATGGATCAGAGATCTGTTTTTCACGAGACCTGATCGTGTCGAATTGAGGGTAATCTGATGTAAACAGACACATGTCCGTTTACTTCTGATTCCCCGTAGACAGACATGGGGTCCGGTAATTACAGTAATTTCAGAAAAAAACTGGACAGACAAGGATGTCACAGTGCTCTGATCAGGAGAGGATCTGTGCACTGATCAGCCCGTGTTAAAGGGGCCTCATTCTGCAGATTAATGAAACAGAGTAAATACAGAGTAACAACAATGCTACTTGTACCTTTGATAAACTCTGATCAGAAAATCTGTTTTTGGCAGCAGTGGCTGCTGTATACAATTGTCGGTAAACATGGCAAAGTGGCAGAACGGAAGGGGGGATGGGGCAGTGTGCTACATATGCCCTGTGCACTTCGGTGAGGTTTTTTTTGGGTGCCCATAGCATGCCTAAGGTACAAGAACGGTTCAAGAGGCATTTGATGATTTGGTTACACCTCTATGTCTCCAATGCCCAAACAATCATGCTTTTTGCGAATATATAAAAATAATCTTCCAGCAAATGCATATAGACCCTGGAGTGGGAGACACTCTTTAAGAGCAGCAGCAATGTGCCTCAGACTTAGCTGCAGTCAGATGCCTGGCAGGGGTGATCGTATTGATTGTTCTTGTTGCAGATATCCAGTCTGTATCATGTCTATCTTTTACTGCCACCATAAAAAGCAATACAATTATGCATTTGGATCATGCTTAGTGTAATTAGGAGAAGATGGATAGATAATCCGACACACTGCGTCACTGGGCACACAATGTAATAACATTCTAAAACTTGTATACAGATTATATCTTCATTGTTCCAACCAGATATGTTTCAAGCACTTAGATTATATTAGAGTGAAAAATCGATTTGACAGATTTCAGTAGACCTTCTGTGTTGCAAAGGGCACCAGCTAACAGGAAGAAGGGATATTAGAATGCATTCAAGTGTCAGAGAGATGGTTAAGGCAAAATGATAGACTTCAGCAGAATCAGCAGGCTGTTGGCCAGTTCAAGCGCAAACAGAGTCCAGGTTCCGGACAGGTAAATGGAACAATGATGAACAATAGCGGGATAGGCCGATGATCAGAATAACCAAGGGCAAGCTGAGAATCAACACAGTCCAAACAATATGCAGGAATAATCCAAGACATGAACAGACAGACAGACAGACAGACCTCTATCCATGACATGAGCAAACAGACAAGTCTGATGATCATGCAAAGACTAAATTCCCAGCATTTAAAATAATCATTCATGACTAGGTTGCAGAACTGCAGTACTATGACCAGCAGGCAGTGAAGGCTCAAGGCTGTTTGTTACAATCACAAAATCATCATAATTTTCCCCTTTTCCAGAACGCAAAAAAGCAGACACTTCCAAGACCAAATAAAGTCTAGAAATTTTAAAAGGGTTGTGCGGTGAAAATGTAAAAGAGCTTTCAAAAGACTGGTAAGGATTCACGCCGCACCCATGAAAGTGTATGTGGAACCCTAACTTTTTTTGTGTGCATAAAATAGAGAAAAGTTGGCAATGCTGGGGATATCCACCCTTACTATTGGTCCTGGTGACCATTGTCCCCTGCACAGAAAAGTGGTGAAATAATGCAACATTGTTCGTGAAAAGGAAAAGTAGGGAAGGGTACATCTTCCTATAGGGGACTAATGTGCTGGTGACAATTGTCTAAGAGGGGTATTTTGTTTTGGAGTGATCTCCCTTTGCTACCTGGTATGTCTCTGGGACAGGATGTAAAGGGAAATCTCCCCAACAGGAAACAGACTGTATTCTACTGTATCTAAAACATAACAAACAAGGTTGTGGCTTTGCATATACTTTAATACTCATTTTACACAGCTTTCCTCACCTGTCAATTGCTGAATTTACATGCATTAAAGCTTGCCGATTGCACTTACAATACAATACAAACATGGGGGATAGAAACGGGAGGTTGGTGTAGCCCTGTGCGGCTGACATCATCATATCAACCAAGGGCGCTGTACAGCAAACAACATTACAGCAACTGATGACGTCGTGCAGCTGGCAGTGTCCAAGCAACCAATGATGCTGTTGGCTGACAATGTCCTAGCAACCGATCATGCTTTGGGCCGACAAAGTCATAGCTACCAGTGACGAGGAGTGAGGAGGTGTCATGGCCCTGCTCACTCCAAAATGACATCGGTCTTAATCACCTCCATTTTTTTTAACTCTGAAATTGTGGTATTTGTTAGGAAATTTGAAACAGCCATATCGACATATTAGAAACGTTTTGCAAATTAGAACTTTGCATGTGTTTGCATAACTATAGAACTAGTTAACGATTTGGCGCAAGAGTTCCAGATACAGCCATAATGCTAGCCTTGTGTCTCAAAGGTTTTATTGAATCACCCCCAGAGTGTCCTGCAAGTTGTGCATTTAGCTTTAACACCCGTCTACGACCCTTTAGGTGGTTGGCAGTGCATCTCCTGCTGGATTTTTGCTACTTTTTTGTACCCCTGCAGCAAAACAGTTTTACATAAATATGGTAAAGAGGAGAATTACACCAACAAAGAAATGGCAGGCCAGCAGGAGAAGGAACCTAGACACATAGATTTTGTCTCCAACATTACTTACAAGCCATCGGTGGGGGATTCCCCTAACCAACATCACTCAAACCTAAAAGTATATCTAAACCAAAAAGCTTTTTTGTAGTTTTGGATAGAATGTGGAAGTGTTAGCAACCCTGTCAGTTTTTTATCACTGTCTATGACCCCCCACTGGGGAACTTTACCATCCAAATGTGTCATGGTGACCATTGTCACAGAGACTGAAATAAAACTAAAACCCAAATTTATGATTTGTCACCAGAACATGGGCAGAGGGTAAATTGTCAAATGGGGGGCATCTGTTGCAGTTACTGAGAGGGTATTTCCCTCACTTTAGAGACATTTCTTCTTACTTTCTGGTGTGTCTACAAGACTGGAGGTGAAATCAAATCTCCCCAAAGGCACACAGAAGGCAAACCTCCCCCAAAAAACAATGGGCACTTAACATCTCTATTCTCTCCAAAACCTGTCTCTACTCTCCCTCTCTACTCTGGTTTTTTTGCATATATCTACTGCTAGCAAGCAGTAGATATATGCAAAAAGTGTAAAAAAAAGGGTTAATACTTCCTGTCTCTTACCCGCACGTTCCCGTCCGAAAATGTGAACATTCTCGAGTGGCCGCAAAGCATCTTGGGGCGGGCGCATGCGCAGTTCACATTTTCGGCCGGGACGCGAGGAGAGACACAAGGTAAGTCTATGGACGCGTGCACCTGCATGCAGACACGAAGGGACAGGAAGTGCCAGCAAGCTCAGAGCAGTCCGCGCGGGATGTGAGACCCGTCGCAGCGCTGGAGGGACAGATGAAAAGGACAGGAAAGAAGATTGGATTAAGAAACATAATTTAAGGTAAGTGCTGACACTAACATTGGGGGTAGGGAAAAAGATTTTTGACTTTAATGTCACTTTAAGTTAAAACAAATCGAAGCATACAATTCATTTAAATACACTATCTGTGAATCCATTGTAATTAATGTATTGTATGAGTATTAATAAGTCATTTAGCACATTTGTTTGTAGTCCTTTCTTGCGTGCTATGCTATACCTACGGTGCTGACACCGTATAAAAACAAAGTAGCAATTTAGCAAACAGCTGCCCATTGACCAAGACCTAACCTCTGCCCTGAAAAGTTCAAGACTCAACACACACCACTGAAGTGTTAAGGGGCAGACACAGATAACTGATCTCTATATTAACAATCTACTCTTTCAGTAGCTGGGGAGTAGCTACTCATGACAGGAGGAGGGGAGGGAGTTGGGCTCTGTTATTAATTACAAGGACTTCCAAACATGTTTAACTTCAAGGATTGATTGGTATATCAATATTATTAATGAAATACTAAAATACTGTCTTGTTGTCGCATTTCCCAATGAGTGTGGCAAGTTTAAAAGTCAAGAAGGAAAGTCAACTTTGACCAAGCTTGTTTTACACACTGTATCAGTCAGCTATTGGGAACAGAACGGTTCTGGTAATAAACAGCATATAATGACACTATCAGAAGGATGTTGTGATATAGAAACTGTTACTGAACATTTACTTCATATACCACTTATAACTAGTAACCTTTGTCATGTAATAGATTTACGTGCTGTAGCTAAATCAAACTAAAGTCCTGTCTAAGGGAGAAAACACAGAATGATTAAATGCACAGATTTAACTGCTTAAAGCTGAACTGCAATTATATGAAACATATATACGACAGCTGTTTTACCTGCCAAAGGATTTCAATTTCTGTCCATTCATTCCTGAGATTTATACAGTCCTGCCAGATTGCACAGATAGCCTGGAGAGCGGACTTAAAGAAGAACTCCAGGCAAATAAAATCTTAACCCTTGCAGTGGGGCTACAACTCACCCGAACTGTGATTCCAGCTGGCTCCCTGACCGGTCCCTGGAGCCTCTCTCCCTATCCATTCCAGCTGTCTAAGGTCCTGAGAGTCATCACAACCTATACAGTGTATTAGATGTGAGGATGCCGAGGGAAATTCCATCACTGGAGGACTGGTCTAGGAACCAGGCGAGATAGCGGTTTGGGTGAGTATATTTCTGTTATTTCAGCTCCCTAGGCCCCACTTCAAGGGTTAAGTTTTTATTTCCCTGAAGTTCTTCGTCAACTCTACTAAAGTTAAGTAATACAACTAGGTCTTGTCTCCACCAGCACATGACTGGTCAGTGAAGGAGAAGCAGCAGACTGAGGAACTCATCTCTCTGCCACTCTTTTCTGTTCTAGAATAGGCACGCCCCTTATTAGCACATGAGCACCACAGCACACCTGATTGGCTCCTGGTGCTGCTTCTATCTCCCCTAGTCTGAGCTTTGCTGTACAGGGACCACAAGAGGCTAATCCTAAGTAAAATGTAGGTACTCACAGTTGCTTTTAAAAGTACTTTTAAAGATTTTATTTTTTAATCTGAGGTCTAAGAGGTCAGTTTGAAACATTTCATTAATGTCTCATCTCAAAAGCTGGTTTAATATAAATTTATATCGCTGGTAATTAATTAAAACACTATATCACTCTTAAAAATGTTACTATATTGCTGATTCTGGGCACTTAAATGTTATGGTGATAAGTCTACAATATACATTCCAATCTGAAGAAGGCATTTACCTTGAAGTTAGGAGGAATTATGGTTTTTCCAGCAGGGATTTGAAGAATTATATTCTCGCCCTCAAATAACCAAAGGTCCCATCTGGATTGGTTGATGAGTAGAGCCCATGGGAGCAGTTCAATCAGCATAGTCTTGAGATGGGGCTTCCAGAGGGAAAGCTTCACCCGCATAGGGCTGTCCCACTGAGCCAGGTGCTCCACACTGTAAAGACAAGGTCACAGCATTACTTTGAAAGTCATGTTAAAACATCAAAATTAACTAATACAGTTCAAATAAATATAAAATACATCCTTTAAGTTCATTTATTGTCAGCAAAATAATATTTCCACAAATGCTCATTTTCTGTTATAAACGCCAAAAAGCTGTCAGCAGAGGTATTGCATTCTGTGAAGCTTCTAACATAAGCTCCTTACCAATAGTCCTGGGTTTCCTGGCTTCGTCTTGCACCAACGTCCACCAATGTATGTGCTTTGGCATGCATTAACACAATGTGTTAAAAAAGTGCAATGTGCTTGTGGTGCCATTACTAAATAATGACACCCCAAACGTGGGCAGTAAAAAGTACATGTTTGCCCATGTGTAGAGCTGCATCAAACACGCGGGGGGAAAACGAGAGGCTAAAAAATGCTGCATGATCTACTTTTTCGGACTTGTGGCACGTGCAGCAGCCCACTGATTGAATAGACTGATGTGCAGCAAAAAACAGCACATGAATGCAACGCAACATTCCCACAACATTGAGTGTGAACAGGGTCCGAATGTTAAAACATCCTGGAACCTGGGTCAGCTAGAACATATTGACCTGAATTGTGCAGGTGTTAATGCTGCAGATATGTCCTCTTGAATTCCAACTATTTAAGTTGTAAAATAGGCAGGAGCAGAAGAGAATAAAAACATGAACATCTGATGCCAAATGCAAACTCTCCTAATTTGTAATGAATTCATGTTGGTTTTGCATAACTGGAACATTTCTAAAAATATAAAAATTTGTTTATAAACATTGCAAATATAGGTACAATAGGGCTTTAATGACATGTAGTTGGTATTTAAAAAAAAAAAATTAAGTGCAATTTTCCATGCTACAAATAATAAAAAAAGCCATAATAATGTAATTATAATTAAAGAAGGATTTTTTTTTATTTTTAGTGATGGATGTAGTGAAAATGCCTTAATAAAAATTAGAGAGCCTCCAGATGTTCCCGTTTCGCCCAGGTTTCCATCCCACTAGAAAATGTACTTATTTTATTATATGCAACTACAAGGATGTCAATCTGTTGTTTAGTGATGTTACATTGAACAGCTACTGAATTAATTAAGTGGTGAAAAAAGCAGATGTAAAAGAAGAAAATATTTCCTTTTTCTTTAAAAGCCCCTTAAAGATGAAGCATTATAACATTCTGTAAGAGAAGAGCTGAGCAAAACATCTCCTAATTCCAAAAGTCTCCAATTACAAAGCTAAACGCAGTCACTAGAGAGGACACGAGCACCAACAGTTTACTCCTGCACCTCAATTAACCAACAGAAAGGTGGCGCTGCTGCTTTTGCTGTCTACAGATTTAGTGAAACATTAAAACAAGATAATCAATTCAGAAATACTTCAGTAATCAGATATCCTAAATATTTCCTTATAAATCCTAGGCTACCCTATGTGGGGGCTACTTGTAAAAAAAAAAAACTAGTCCTGGATTTTTTTTATTTTTTTTTATTTCAAAAGTAATTTCATGAAATATTTATCTTGATTTTGGATAAAGGAATGTTTATTATTATCAAGGACTACCTGCACTACTTAGGAACTCCAAACCCCAGCATGTCCTGGGACTAGCAAATGTTCAAAAGCTGGAGGAAGCAGGTGGAACATGGTTATTAATAATAACTTATTATTGTATTAACTTAATAACTTATTTTATAGTATGAGCTAACAAAGTTCTAGCCTAAGCAGTTTTTTTGGCAACTCCAGCCAAACAGGCGCAAAAATCACAAGCACAGGATTATTTTATCTGCAAAATTACTTAACCTACCTCCGCTGCACTGCACGGTTGCATAGCATGAGGAGGGTAGTAACGCTTTTTAAAGCCTGCAATACTGTAGGCTCCATTCCATTATCCTGAATTCTAGTTACCACCCCAAACTGATAAACTCCACTTTGGCTTCCTGTACTCCAATCTCCTACCATCCATTAGCAGGTAAGGCAATCATACTGTATATCTGGCTGACCTGTGGTAACTCAGCAGACTAGAGGTAATTACATTGGCTGAACTGTAAAGTGTATTTGAAACTTGTGAAATAAAATACATTTATTATTGTGATTCAACCACCTACGATGTGCTACATGGCAGCAGAAGGAGAGTGACCATACTACTCAGATCCAGCTATTCTGTAGACTCCCAGACACTGCCCTGCCTCCTGTTCTTTGTACTATTAGTGAATATCATTGCACTGGTGACTCCCACCCCAAGTTTTGCCCCTTTTGTAAGACCCCCTCATTATCTCCCTCTGTTGCCCTCAGCACCAGAAATATGCTCAAATGAATGCCTGAAAGCCTGATTAATTTTTTTGATGTGGCCAGTCTGTATAAAAACAAACATCTAATTATATGTGCATCAACAACAAAAGACTTCAATACTATTAAATGAATACATAACAGAATTTAAGGTTGTTTTTACATATTTCTGGATTTATTATTGGCTGCTTTATTTCTACCCTCTGCACATATCCTCCAACAGAGGCAGAAACCTACCTATCTGTATCTTTTTTAGTGTATGGCCATGCAGGCAGAGTGTTGCAATCTCCTCCGTAAAAGTCGGAAATAATTTGACTTGCAGAATACTCGCTTTGTGCTTTCATGGCAATTTGTTTAATCAGAGCTGTCGAGATTGGAACAGCACATTCTGAAGGCTCTTCTTCCTCTCTGGAGATAAAAAACAAAGCATACATTTATGGTTAGATGAAAACAAAACCCAACAATTTACTGAAGAACAACTGGCATTGCACCGAATAAGAAAGAAGTCCCTTATGAAGTGTGAGATTTCTACAGAAAACAGTTCTGGCAAGATATGGGAAGCTGGTGGATGCTTCAACCTAAACATTTCCACTAGAAACCTATAAAACTAGAAATCTATAAACAATTGGGCCACACAGCAAACTCTCTACACTGGTCTGACCATCATGTTCTATCTCTAAGCAGTTCCACTATCAAGGTAATAACTGATCACATTAAGTGAATGATTGCATGAAGTTTCAAACATAGGTCTGCATTGACTTCTACAGCACCGCCATACAAGGAGACAACCTGCATGAAGAGTTGTAAAATGTGGGCTGCGTTGTGCTTACCCCAGTGCAGGGGATAGGATAGTGTATTTACTGTTTGTAAATGAGCCCCTTAATTTAATGTATGCTATGGTGTGATGAAACAAAATGCATTTGCTGTCCTTAAACAGTGATACTGTAGGGAAGCTCTACCTCGCTTGGAATGTTAAGTGATGAGTGAGGTCTGGCTCGATGTTCTGCAGCTGCTTTTCCAGTCCTTTTCCAGGAATCACTTGTGCTTCATCTAGGCCAAGGCTTCTCTTTTCTAAATGTATAATAATGGGGTCGGGAAGATGGCTCCTCATGATAAAGAGGGGGCTGAACACGATCTAAAAAACAAAGAACAGAATTACATTACTTTCTGCTTTATCCAGCTGCCTAATGTTGTAAATTGTGGCTTCTAAGGTCGTGGTGACCTTCATCCTTTCCAGCACATGGGAGGTCACTGTGTTGTGCTATTTATTACTCACCATCCTTTGCTGTACTTGAGAGTTGGGCTCCAAGGTTAGCAGTGTGCACCACACATAAATAATGGCTCTGTTTGATGATGGCACCTGTGAGCAATGAGACGGATATTAACAAAGGAGTTTATCTTGGAGCTTCTTCTACTATTTCCTGCCTTTAATTCGACAACACATTATGCACAATGTTATCAGCCAGGACAGTCTTTGTAGATGGAATAAAGAATAAAATAATTTAATGAACTCTAATGGGACCTGTTTAATGGAGGCTTCCTCTCTACATTGCAGAGGTGAAGAAACCCCAAGCAGGGGTAATTGGTAATAATGAAAATGAGGTAAGTGATGCTCCTTCTGAGTTAAACCAAAAGGAGCACACATTACTATCCTACAAAACTCCCCATCAGATGTTTTGGGCAGTGTGTCTGTGGGGTGTAGGACAACTGGATGTGGTGGTTTGCTTCTACTGTCTCCCAATATTTATGTGGAGCAGGGAGGGAAGGGGGCTTTGGCGATGTAGTTCCCCTACTCTATAAGTTACTTCTGGGGTTTAGGGTGGGTTTCCACCTCAGCAGAATCTAAGCAGGACCTAAGCAGTGAACATTTATGAAAACAGTGCAATAAAGAAAAGTCCACCTGTGGGTATTCCATGGGTCACAATTAGTTTCCAGTTCCATAGTAACTGGAGCTAGTGATTTGCATTCCAAGCTGTTCATGTAATTGTTGACCAGAGTCCTGGGTGCATCACAGGACAGACTGGATTTAGATAGGGTACTACAGTGGGGATACTCCGATTCTGAACAAGCACTGCAACATGAAGTAAAATAACTAACTAACCAGCTATATAGGTTGGAGCAGGTCTTCCATGTCTACTTTCTTGGAATGCAGCACCTACACAAGATATCACATTATTTAACTTTGGATACATAAGGCCACTGGGGCCTTAATATGCAAGGGGTTTCTCTGGCAGATCCAGCAAGTCTAGGATGGCCTCTACGCCAAAGAAGGTAAACAGATCGGGTATGTGCTCTGGTGTCTAAAGATGGAACTACCCCCACCCTTTCTAACTTGGGAGATGGAAAGGGTGTCCCTAGGCATATGATGCTCCTACAGACTGAATTCACTCAAGCAGGGTTTTGAGTAGACATCACAGAATAAGCATGGCATGAGAGATTGAGTAAAATATGGACCTTGGACCCATGTGTGCATTCAGATGTGTTTTGGTGTGGAGGTGTCATGATGGATGTGGTCTGCTGTTCAGGATCTCTGTGTTGAGTAGCTCAGATTAAAATTTTGGTGTTGTTCCTTCTATGTTCAATGAGAAATAAGGCGGCAGTACAAACCTTTTTATAACATAGGCAATATTGTTTTGTTGGCAACACTCTGAGTGGCGTACTCCCTTTCATCACTTGCGTTATGGATTTATTTTACAATGGGAACATTGTCTGCAGGGAGTCCGTATGTTTTCTCCATGTTTGTATGGATTTTCTTTGAGTGCATCAATTCCTTCCCATAACTCTATGGCTATTTGCACTTGACCAAATTGGCTCTAATCTGAACCTATTTCCCATGGCCAGCCCTAAGTTTCTCTTGAGATAAAAGGCCTGGGCGTTGTTCATGTACCTCAGCCCTGTAAAAAAAAAATTACATCTGCGACTAAGCAGGCTGATATGTGCTGGCTGATGTGCCTAATGGCATAGATGGACTTACGCGTACACGCAACACTATTACTGCACAGAATTTCCAAGCTGAAATATAAATGCCATCTTCTGCAGCCAATAAATCCAGACACATGCAAACATTCCACCCCAGACCCCACTGACACTCGGCAAGATGCAATGAACATAAAGTCTGCTGAACATCGCAATAAGGGAGGAATTTATTGTGTCAAGCAAGATTTTTTTCTTTTTTTCTTTTTGGAAGGGCAGGAAATCCATGTCTAACATATCAAGAGTAAAGCAAACAGATGTAAGATATCTACATCACATAATCAAAGAGTAAGGGGCTTGCCAACTTCTAAACAAGCCAGGAACATAGGGTGTGTAAATGAGCGCATTGCTTAAACATTTTCTCACACACAAGCTGCGCAGTGCTCCCCAGTAGCGTGTCTTGTAATGTGATGAAGATACATCACTACTGCAAGCAAGAGCAATAATATTTTACTTTACAACCACTCAGACCCTTACCTTCCAATCATGCTAAACCAATTATGGGCAAGCTTCAGGCCTCCAATTGCTGAGGTTCAACAGGTCCAAACATTCCCCACTTCTTCTTTCTGGGCAAACTGCAGATCTCAAGCTCTGGAGACTTTGCATGTCCCAGCTTACCTGAAGTAACTAAATTAGATAGGGGCAAGCTGCAAACCTCCAACTGCCAGTTTCACAGGTTCCAACATTCTCCACTTCCTTTTTTTCTGGCTAAGCTGTAAATGTCAAACTCTGGAGTCCTTGCAAGTCTTAGCATACATGAAGAGACAAAACCCGCCATGGGCAAGCTGTAGACATCTAGCTGTTCAGGTGGTTAACTTTCCATACCAATACAAAATCACAATAAACCCACTATGCACAAACTGCAGACCTACAGCTCAGAAGTACCGATATAGGTCGGCCTTGGGGAATTATATTATTATTGGGTCCATGCCAAATAACTAAGCAATGTTATATTGCAGAAAAGCTGTAACTTAAAACTTTAAAAAAAGCAGTATTACAAATATTCATAAGTATTTAAGGAAATTTTAGAATTTTTAAACTTGGGATAAGAGGTTTTAGTCTTCAGACTTCCTGTTCCGGTTCCATTCTGAATGGACGGCTAATAGATAACATGTGCAATGGCATTACAGCCAATATATTTTAATATTTTAGAGTTGCACTTCTGCTTGAAAGAATGAAGAATGTCATATGCAAGTTGTTCTAATCTAAATACTGGTCCTTTGTTGAAAATACTCAATATTATTGTTTCTTTATAAGACTTGGTTTCATCTAATTTTAAGATAAAGACATGTTGTAAATCACACCAGTTAAATCTGTGTCTGTATTGCATGTTCAAACCTTAATACCAGAAGTAAGAACAGGTTAACAGATGTTTACTCCAGGAGTATATAATGAGATTTGAAATTCTTCTAGAGAAACCCACTAGATTTTAGGAGACTAAATGTACTAGAGTACTAAAATTTTATGATATTTAGTCGACTAAAACTAGACTAAAACTAAAACAATTCAGATGACTAAAATATGACTAAAACTAAATAGTATTTAATTTTAGTCAAAAGACTATGACTAGAACTAAATCAAAATGTGCTGTCAAAGATAACACTGCCTCAACAATTCTACGCCATTAAACTCATAAATGGAGGAAGAAACTGTGGAACACTTTAATGCAGTCATGTGTGCCATTTTCGATGAGTTAGTTTATTTATTGAATATATATATACATATATA